ATTGAAGACTTCTGCAACATATGTCCAGTATGGAAGACCGGTGTCTTTGGCAGATCCACCGCTATTATGTAAATTATTTGTAGCCGCAAATTGTCGATCGTAATTTTTCGTGCCATTTGCATGTATTTGCTTGACAGACTGAGTTCCTCCTCCTCTAGCCGCAGTGACGATCCGTCCTTGCATACCACAACATACAATGGCCTCTACCCCGCACTTATCATGATGTCAACATTGCACGATCGAATTGCAGAGCCAAGATGTAGAAGCGCCTTCTCCCTCAATGAGTACCGTGATTGATTGTGTGTCGCCATTGTGCAGTAGGTTTTCGCGGCTCGTTTGACAATCCTTCTATACGAACAATCTCAGGTTTTGAGGCTGGAATCAATTCCAGAGAAGAGTAAGAAAATTTAACAAATTTGGCCGTTTCTGTTTCAGTTCTACATAATGTTACACAAAAAACATATGTTGGTGCCTAGAAAAGATAGGTACCTGCAGCCTCTTACGCCAAGTCGGGCTAAGCCAGGACATATCTTACATCTTTGAGTTGCGATCTCCACGTCAACCTCATACACTTTTCAACCTCATCTACCAGTCGTTACCACTAAGCATATGTATATAGTGTTAGGCTTGATTCAGCTGGAACAATCTTGGAAATGTGAGAAGTGATTAAACCTAAATCTTAGGAACTTGTGCTAACACGCGCAGTTTGGATTCGCAAACTCTCATAGCAGAGAGTGGTGAGAAAGTTTCATACGCGATAATTGCGTACTCGATATTTATCGTGGATGAATCAGACATTCTTTCTCTGATTTGAAGCAGAAGCTTGTCATTAAAAGAACCGTGTTATCAAATATATAATCCGGTGTGAGAGCATCGGCTTGCCGGTGGTTAAGAATCTCGGTCGAATCTTGCACTGCAATATCAAGAAGCCAAGACGGCTTGAGACTTTGTTTCTGTCATTGAAAAGGAAGAGGGAGCGGGGCCCTAACTGTTCAAAAGCCTCAATAGAAGAAATCAGGATCTGCACGCAGGTGACAGACCTGATTCTTCATGCTCGAAATCCCTCAACTTTGATCAGCAGGCTCAATTACAGAATATTGAGAACGTGGCAGAACTTGCCGTTGACAGGTAAACTACACTTTTTCATAGGCAGATGCTGTGATGTTTGGCTTTCATGTGCTGGCCGCCATACTCTGAGAAAGTTATCTCCTCGGAATGTCTATCACTGCTTAACAAAGGCTTATCACCTATATAAGCATCCTTTTCCGCAACAAAGCCTGTCTTTCGAGCATCAATCTGACAACATATAGCAGCCTTACCTAAGACTACTCAAACTTCAAAACTTCATCATGCATTTCAAGCTTACACCACTCCTCCTTCTCCTCCCCCTTTCCCTTGCCCTACCCGAGCCAATTGCAGAGCCAGTTCCAGAAGCTGGTTTCAAAGAAGGAGGCGCCATCACACCTCGTGATGGGCCCGATACACTCATAGCCCGTGCTTGCTCCTACAACACTGGTTGTACATCCCAAAGCGGAGCCAGTGCTGGAAAGTATTGCGGTTTTTGTACCCAAGTACGCGGAACGTATCATGTCGGTGACATTTATCAGTGAGTAGTTTTTCTTTCCATTTGCCCTTTTATTATCGAAGCTACATGTTCAAGTCTTTCCATCGTAGCACTAAGTGAGCCGCAAATGATAACAGTTGCTGACTTCGGCATTTAGAGTCAATGGTGGCTCTGGGTCCTCGAGCTGCTGCAGTTATGGAGCAAGCTCGGCATGTGCTGCACGTTGGCCAGCTGTCAGCCCAAAGTAAGTGCATTCATGTAAAAATTTATACCAAGCTGATAATTCTAGTGTTCTTGTCAAATGCGCCAACAATGGAAGAGGATACTAGCTGAGTGGAGGCCATTGATTAGCTGGAAAGCTCACTCTTTTTCCTGATCTAAATTGCGAAGTAGGCTGCCGAGCAAACTTGAAGGTTTTGCTTTGCCCATAGTCTTTTCTGGTGAAACTTGCGAATGGTCTTCCCAATCTATGTATTCCTTGCGTTTTGTTCAATGACAGTCTTTTGGTATTACGTAGCCATAACCAATGAAACAAACCCCTGTTGAGTACCAAGGATTACGGAGCCATCGCTCTTGCTAAAGGGCATCTGTCTCAACATTTAAATTCAATGCTGTGAAGCATATTGCTTATTGTTGCATGAAAAGGAGCTGTTCAAACAAAGAAACCAACATAGAAAAGAATCTTTACAAGAGAGTGCTGGGGAGAAATTGGCTTGTGTACAAGCCACAAGACAGGCAAGCGCAAGTAAACTCAAAAGACAAGATGCAGGGAAGGACATCTCGAAACCAAATCTTGACGCCGGCCGCCCAAGTATGTTACTGTAGACTATCATTTAAAAGATGGGTAGAAGTGAGCTTCGCACTGGAATTTTAGCAATTATGCCGAGAAGCCTGAACAGGAAAACGAGAAGTATCGCCATCGACACCTTTGCGTATGTATTGGCCTCTGAGAAAACATGTACCCAAGAACGATACATGCTTTTGGTTTGTGTGATTTCTCCGATTGTGTTGACTTGTCAAGACAAACGAGAAGAAAGGGGAGGGAGGGGTGTGTGAAAAGTGGGATTAATTGGTCATCGATAACAAAAGTGGGTCGTCAGCCTTGCATTGAAGGCTGCCGAGCTCGGCTTCAAAATATGTTTCTAACCCCTCCAATCCATGACTCTCTACAATTAAGCAACAACTACATATCACAATGCCTTTTCGTGCAGACTCCCCATTCAACTTGCAGACATGTGCTCGACCTAATATTCTTGCATTAGAGCCATATCGTTGCGCACGAGAGTAAGCGTTCAAAAATCCCATCTATAACGTCTGTTTACTGACTCATATTTTCATTCAGTGATTACAAAGATGATGGAACAAATATCCTTCTCGATGCCAATGAGAACGCTTACGGCCCATCTCTTCCAGAAAGCGTCACTTCAAGTCAGTCCCTCAATTTCCTTGGGTTGAACCGCTATCCTGATCCTCATCAACATCCTCTGAAATCTCTCTTATGCGAATTGCGCAATACCCACCATCATACCGATCTGCCCCTCGACCCTCTGAACCTCTTCCTCGGCGTTGGTTCCGATGAAGCAATTGATGCTCTTCTCCGCTGCTTCTGTACACCCTCAGTCGACTCCATTCTCGTCTGCCCGCCAACTTATGGCATGTATAGTGTATCTGCGCAAGTTAACGATGTAGCTCTCGTTAAAGTGCCATTGCTACCAGCTCCTGAGTTTGGTCTCGATGTTCCGGCTATTCTTGACACACTGTCAAAATCACAACCGAAACCCATCAAGCTCATTTACATTTGTTCGCCTGGAAACCCTACTGGATCCTTAATTCCAAAAGAACAGATTGAGCAAGTACTATTACACAAGACTTGGAATGGTATTGTGGTGGTCGATGAAGCATATATAGATTTCTCACCTGAAGGATCGTCACTTGCAGAATGGGTGAACGAATGGCCAAATTTAGTGGTGCTGCAGACGCTGAGTAAGGCATTTGGTTTAGCTGGTATCAGACTTGGTGCTGCATTCGCTAGTGTTGAAGTTGCGGCTTTGTTAAACAACTTGAAGGCACCATATAACATTAGTTCACCTACAGAGGCTCTTGCTTCTCAGGCGTTAAAGGAAGACGGATTGTCGGTTATGACGGCACATAAAGAGAAGATTGTGGAGCAAAGACAGAGATTACTTAATGAATTACCAAAGGTCAAGGGTGTAGGGCGATTCAGAGGTGGCGTAGCGAGCAATTTCCTGCTCGTGGAGATTTTGAATGAGAACGGGCAGCCAGACAACGAGGTTGCAAGAAAAGTGTACGAAAGCTTAGCGGAGAACAGGGGAGTCGTGGTTAGATTCAGAGGAAAGGAACATGGCTGTCTTGGTTGTGTGAGAATAACTGTTGGGACGGAAGACGAGGTAACGAGGTTCTTGGGACAAATTGGCGGAGTTATCGAAGAGGTTTGGAAAGGCGAGGGAGCCAAGGTAGAAAGTGCTGAGGCAGAGCAGAAGAAGGAATTAGCAGCTAATAATATCTTGGCATAGAAAAGAAGGATAGACATATAGAAATGATATAGATACCATATCTTGTTTTGGAATTTGAACGTCTGGTAACACACAAATTCTCCAAAGTGGCGATTCCGTGAAGCTAAGGTGTGTTGCACAAGTGCCCAAGACAGTGTAGCCACATCCCGTCAGGCTTCAAGGTATATCTCGCCTATGAAAGGGCCATTTTGGCGATATATGAGTGGGAAATTTTCATCTAGAGCCAAATTGCACATCTCAACCACACATAAATTCCAGATTCATACTGATGATACACTCTTAGGGGCTCCATATCTTTCATGAAAGGCAAGCAGCACCTCGAGCTTTCTGAGATCAGGAAAGCTATCAAATTGCTAAAAAAATCAGCCAGTCTATGCCAATGTTCCTCTGATACCTGCACATAAAACAGAGCCATGTCAATTCCAATACACATGATGCGAAAGAAACACAACTTAGAACGATTTCGTTATCTCAATAGGGCATCCTAACGAAGCTAAAGTACAGATCTAGACAGTCCTATTATTGTCTTGACGCCGCATAACTGTAAAAGACAAATGAGAAATATTAAAACCTCTCCTATCAATTGATATCCCATCCACATATACACGGCCACCTTGATACATCATTAATCCCCCTAAAAACTGATCTGAAAGTGAAGAACTTGTAAACTCTGCTCTTGTCAGATTACCAATCATCATACAATCAACTAGCCCTCCATACAATTTCCTGATGACGAAGCGAAGAGAAGAAGGAAAAACAAAAAAAAAATTTGATCACCACATTGTCGGTATGTGGCCTATTATACACGTCGGGAAGACGTTGGTATATACCATAGCATACTTCTTTTCATATTCAACCTTAGATATCTTGGTGTTTCCAAGAACCCAAGTGTAGATGACAACTCACAAGAAAGGACGGCTCAACATGTAGTCGATGCCAAGCCACTTCTCATGGTGAACTCCATACTCTCCCTCACAATACTCAGCAATGAATGTATAATAAGCCTCTTCGTCTGAGATCAATTTATCCAGTTCATTCTCAGCAAGACCCCATTCTTCTTCCGGCAAATCATCTTCGACAAACTTAGATGGATCATCATCGCCATCATTATCATCAACTTGATCGGCGATCTTTGCTGGCTGTGGACGGTACTCCTCGCACGGGGAGTGTTGATAAGTGAGGCCTGGTATTTGAGGAAAATTGTTACACTCGCAACGTTGATACTGACCCATGTGTGATAGATTATCCTCACGAGCCGCTCCCACAACCGAGACAGAAGGGACTCTCCAAGTACAAGTTAAATCCCACTTCATGTCTGTAAACCCCCTGACGATTTCGTGGGCTCCACAGAAGGCACAGAAACTTGGAGGGTGAAGGCAAATATTGCCAGGAATGTCGTGAAATGTAATTTCCCCTTTCTGATAGGGGTCAACATCTTCAACAACCACGTATAGTCTCTTCAAGGAACTAAATCTGGCGAGTACATTTGATGTGGAGTGACAGAAATATTCCATCCTGTTAGCCGAAAATCTCTCGGGTACATCCAAATAGATTGAGTTGACAGCGACTCTTGCAATCGATTTCAAATCCTGTCTTCCTACTCCCATCTTACCAAGCGGGCCAATGTCAACATGTTCGAACCAACCGTTCTCCTCATATTTATAGCCCGTAAGCCAGTCGGAGAAGTAGACAACATCGATATCATATCCCATGTAAATATTCGCCGGGTGGGATGGTGTTGGAAAGCACAAATTGTAGACATTTTGCGCAAACGATCTGGCTTCTTTGTTCTAAAGAAGTTGGCTTGTTAGCGACATTTACTATCATACTATTACGGGGAATGAGCAGTGTATTCAATAGCCCTTACTGCAGTCCAAAAAACAAACAGTTCAAACATTCAATCCCTCTAAATATCGAGTTTATCTCAGGTAATGAAATTAATTTGATTATTGGACTGGTTTAAAAATGATGAATGTCTGAAATGGACAAGTATATATTCGAATTCTCAAAATTAGAATCATAGATTGAGCTGCTGTCCGGACTCTTGGAAACGCTGGGATTAAGCATCTTGACGAGGACGTTTCCGGATAACAAAACACGGGACATTTAAACAGGTCAAACGTACTGTGTGCAGTAGAGAGGGTGGTCTAGAATGGAACGACAAGTACTTGTCTTTGTCTCTGTCGTAAATGATATCAATGATTCGGGCACCAGGTAAGCTCAATTTCCAAATCATATGGCGTAACTCAAAGGAAAGCTTCCGAAACTTTGGAAACCTTGGAAACCTACTAGGAATTACTGGTAGGACCGCATTAATGTGATCAGGTTGCACAATTTCTTGAGATGAAGAAGAACTCATTTTCGCTTATATAGACCAAGATGAGAACTAAGATTGATGTTTTGAAGAAAGGAAATGGTTGTCTGTGGTCGGTAGTTGTAAAATTGGCTTCAATATCGACGATCTATAATGAGAAGTTCGTCAGTGGATATTGCTAGTGAACGAGATGGTATTTCATAACTTGACTTGCAGAGAGGAATAAAGAGAAGATACCTGTAGTAATGTAGTATCGGACGAGATATTCTCAATGGTTTGTATGCGACAATCGCCCAGAAGTCGTCTGCCTAAGAAGAAGGTGACAATATGCTTAAAGTGTTGTAACCAGGAGGACTTTCGATGAAGCTTCTTTATCATGTATGGAATGAGGTAGATTGCTTCTTTGTACTCTTGATATAATATGTCCAATTTACTATATGATATTCTTCAGATGAAACACAAAAGTCTCAAGCTAAATTCTGAGATGACATTTTGACTAGGAGATGGTTGCCAACAGGTTGTTCTCCGAACCTTTTTGTTTATCGAAAGAATCAGATAAGATAATCAAGTCAACCTCGAACATATAAACAATCAAAGCATATGGACTCGAAGAAAGAAGGTGCATTAGGTCCGTGCGACATCAAATAACAAACAACAACTTCCTTTTCCTCAAGACCTTCAACTTCAATCCACTTTTGCCTTTTTCTATTGTCGGCTTCTACATCTCGAGATGATTTCTGAAAAAGAAAATCGACATGAAAATGCGTGGGAGGAAGATGCTTTATTAGAGCTTCTCTTTAGAGCCCCAAATTTAGTAACTGATGATGATCTACTAAACATATCTTTGAGCAACTTAGCTAAGAATGTGAACGATGAATCACCAGCTTCTTTGATCATGAGAATATACTGTCGATGGCTCGAAGTCCATCGGAGAAGCCCATTGCAATTACTTAAAGCTTGGCCAAATACGATTAAGCAGTGGGTGGAATCATTGGAGCACCGTGGAGTTGATAAGGAAGCAGTAATCGCACACGTTGTGGATTGGAAGAAAGCCAATGGTCCTTCCACACTCAATGGCCGGAAAAGATGGATTGAGGAAAAGCACCTTCCTTCTGTTGATGAGATTGAAAGAGTGTTTGATGAAAAACACGGCTTAACCAAAGATAAACCTTCGGATGAAGGATACTCTGATGGAGGTGAGTATCGATCAGACAAGCTCTCAAGTAAATCAGATCCTGGAGGCAGTCATTCAGAGTATGTTCCACCGAGTTATATCTGCAATCGATGCGGGAAGAATGGTATGAGCCCCTTTCGAGAAATACTCTAATGATCAAGGGTCTTTATCTCTATCACGGAGATTGCATAATGGAACAAGTCACGTCCACTAACATTCAATAGGCCACTTGGTCAAACAATGTCCAACAAATATGGTGAATAATCATGATCAAAGTACAACGCGGAAAATTGCTGACACATTTTCAGGATCCTGCTTTTGACCAAAAGCCACCGAAGTCATATAAATGCTCGATTTGCAACAAATTCGGAAAGCACTGGTATTCGCTATGCCCAGAGAACACCAAGAAAGACTCCATCACCCAAAAACGTCTGGTTGCCGGGATGAAAGCCAAAACCCAGCAAAGAACCTTAGACAAGAGAGATAGCTGCAAGGCAAAACGAGGGGGAATGTCAAAAACAAACAATTCCGAAAACAAAGGCGCAGAGCGAGATTCGAGGCTTTGGCGAGGCGGAAAACTGGAGGCATTTGAAAAATCAGGTTCTTCCAAACGAGAACAAGCAATGGCTTTGGATCACAGTATCGGCCGAGAGTCAAAATTGCCAGCTCGTAACAACATGCTTGAACAACTTGCCGATGTCGAGGAACGTATACACAGAGCCTCCGTGGCTATGGCAGAGGATACCGGGATGTCAATGGAAACCGTGGCAGGAGTGACTGGTGTGTCGATCTCCAATGTGGCCTCTACCATCATGGCAGCTAATCGCAAGCGTGCTCGCTCGATGGAAATAAATGATATCGATTACAAGGAGCATCAACGTACCATCAGACAAAAAGTTGAATATGATGATAGAGAAGAGCTAATGCATGATGTTGATGACACAAGATCCCTACATTTGGACGCCGAAAGGAACGACGCAGACGCAAGGGGAATTCTCAGGGAAACGAATCCATATACCGCAGAATTTGAATTAAGCCAAAAACTTCCAACTAGAAACTCGACAATTTCAACCGGAAACTTTGTGCAAAGCCAAGCCTCTGATATAAATATGCGCCCACGAGATGTTTCGCCTATGGATACTTCTAGCGAAGACGACATTCGAACTCCTGTGGATGATATGGAAGCAGGATGTGACTCGCCAAGAGTTCGTTCGGAGACTCCAGAGAGAATCTATTCCGATTTTGTTAAGGGCCTGATTGCAAATCGAACAGAAGGTCATATTGTAAACCTGAGGAGAAGACGCCGCACAGCGGTACAGTTGTGGGATGAAGATGACCAACGTCGTATGGGACAACTGGAAATTGCAACATCGTAAGTTACATACCTTTTATCCAACGGGCATATGAGGTATCTATGTTAACGATAATCAGACCCCCACAAAGCTCCTCTCCATTGTCTTCTGCTTCATCGTTGGTCTCAAATCATACATTCGACCGTTCACCTGACCGAGTTCCAAGTGAGATTCCTTACTTCAATCTTGACAAAAGCACGTCAACCTCCCCAGGTTCCGATATTGAAATGCAAGAGTAAACGTCCGAAGACCAGGCACATGTTAATGACGGTAACACCTCGATGGATGCTGCGAGCGACCAATCGTTGTGACCATAGCTGTTTCTATATGAAGGGAGTTTTGAAAATTGATGATATGGCGGATGTTGAAAATAAATAAGCAGCTACTTCGCAAAGTCTGAGCTGTTTATTACACAGACTTTGACATTCATTTTGCTTCTAAAGTAGCTCGCTGAAATTGCTGTTGTATGAAAGTTGGTAACTAGGAGGCATGGCACACTGAGTGATAGGTGACAAAAGAAGAGCGTTTTAGCTTGCTATTTGTGCAAGGAGAGAAACATATGAATCACAGTACCTCAATAATGCTGCCACTCGCGTGACAAATCTAGTTTTTGACTGTGACTTCGCCTTGCGCCAGTTTTTATGCCTGCAGTTAAACTCCTAGACTCCTAGCTTTCCCTTTGGTATCGACTGCTACTAGCTGATTACTGCCATTAATGTTGGCCAATTTTAGTAGACTAGCCTCTCATGTTTCCACAATCATTCCAATTTATCCAGATGTTCCAACCTCGTCAAGACGACCTGTTTACTCGTCTCCTCAATTTCTCCAGCCAAAAATACTTCATCTAATATGGCATACACCTATCATCACAAAAAATCAGCACTATTCCATTCCCCTTTCATCTCCACCTTGCACTCTCTCATTCGAAATTCACAATCCCTGATCCCCTCCAAAGAAAAACATACTTTATAAAAATTAAACACCAAATCCAATTCACACACATTCCCAAAAAAGCTATCCAGCACCTCGACAAAAAAATGTATCGCCTCTAGATACGCCAACTCATTATCATTAGCATCGACGCAGGCGCAGAAGAACAATCCCGCATAGCGTCGATACACAATTTTGTTATTGCGAAACTCGACGAAATTCGATTGATATTTTTGATCGCGCGGCGCGACGAGTCGGTGCACCTGGTGAGTGGTTAGATTGCATGTTGGAAGGATAGGGGGGGGGAATGTACTTCGCCCTTGAGCTTGATCTTCTCTTCGTCGTTGTAGGGGGCGTACCATTTCGCGAGTCGCGTTTTACCTCTGGGTAAGGGGATGGGTGGTTAGTGATGATGGGGAAAGGTTTGGGTACGGGGGAAAGCACTTACTGGCGGTTTTGTATTAGGATGAAGGAGAGAACCATGGTGTAGATGGTTGTGGAGCTAGAAAGGGAGATAGATGGTTGTGAGGTGAGGTTATGAAGTCCGGATATTACGGTGGTCGGGATGTGTCGGTGGGGTGGTTTTAGTCGTTTGTACAATACCTAGTAGTTTACGAACCTCACTTCGCTGGTAATGTATTCTACAATGATTTTTTATTCAATATTGGTTTTCGAGTACGATATGGGATTTCATAAATGATACTGCACTTGCAAACATGTTACGATTTCAAATGATCAATTCCCAACCTCAATTTCGAACAATTGGCTGCGACTCGGGAATGAATACACAACCCCTTTTTAATTATCTTCGAGTTGGAATCACAGCGGACAATTTTTACTAAGCAGTTGTGAAATTGACGTTCGTTTTTATTCATTTCTGATAATCTATAAAGAAAGGTTCATCAATATGAAGTATTCACTACAACATTCATAATGATAAGAGTTGATTCAAACAGGAGTTGCAAACAATTTTCTCCAAACATATCGGGTTAGTCGAACTACATGGTGTTGAGTAGACATTACATTCGGCTGGGTTTTAGCGGCCTTCGTCCCCTTAAAGATTTCGTTGCTTCCGGTTGCTCCGCTCTGCGCTGTTGAAAGAAGAAAGTAGCTTTACTCTACTTCAATAAATTTCTCGTCGCAAGTTGCCCGAGTTTAGCATGTCTCTTGCTTTCATACACATTTCTCTCGTCTCGAGATTTTGGAGTTTTTACTGTAAGCTGGCTAGTGTCCTTCCCAGTGTCTTGCCTGCTTAGCTTTCGCATAAGATGCAATTAAGACTAAATTCTCCGTATCTCTCACCACTACCATCGTGGATAGATTTAGCAACTATAATACCGTCAAGATTTCAGAAGAATGCCTTTCTTACAACCTGTAAGCATGAAGTCTGCATAGCTCAAAATCCGATAAATCATTGCTTACACTTATGCTCAACTTTTCCACAGCGCACTTGATGGCAGCCACTCCGATCATAAACCTCTCCTGATCTAGAAGTATATTGTAAATTCCTGGAAATGTCTCTCAATCCTGTTGACCGAGACGTCTTGGAAGGTCAAGGAAGATTTACACGTGTTTTTTCTTAGCAAAATGTAATTCCACCAATCCTCCCAGAAACAGTCAACCTTCACTAATCTCTTGCACGTTCTCAGTCAAAAGCTCTCCGCTCTTTGACCATAAAAGTCCAAGATCCGTACCTCCAAACTTTCTAATTTGATACTACGAGATCGGAGCGAGGATAGGAAAGCTCTCTGAGAAGTCGTGTTGTAATCTCAGGTCGTCGTTTGCTTCACTAGTGATAGTGTCAATTATGAATTAGATTTCAGCACTAAGCTCCCTAGAGTCCCTCGAATGAATATTCTCGACGCTTGCATCGTCCTCAAGCACGTCAGCTCACTCATGATGGCTCTCAGAATTTCGTCTGCTGTAAAAGAGTAGAAGGTGGTAGGGTCATAGAGTAAGCCCTCACAAATACCATAGAAATGTCACTGTGAAAGTAGCGCTGTCGGCGGAGGAGAAAGGAAAGAGGCTTTAGGAAGCTCTCACATAAAACGTAGGGGATATAATAGAATAAATAAAAACTAATTATCTTTTTCTAAATTACACCAAAAAATATATAAATATTAGCTACAAACAATATCATATGATCTGTGCGTGATTTCCGCGCAAGCTCTGGATCAATCGAAACAACAAATAGGTGATCAGTAATAATGCTCCACAAGAATCTAAAGTAATCCTATTAAAGGAAATTGCTCAATTATGCCCCATATCATTATCTTCAACAATACCAGGGATTCTCAAGTAGAATCAACATCTCAAATCACATACTCTACCACACAATACAACAAAGAACCAGTCCTTACACTGCCATAAAACAAATCCTCCATCTCCCCACCCTCACCCTCACCCCCTTCCCTTCCCCCCCAGATATTACACCAGCTCAGATAAGATATCTACCCGTGATTCGTGAAATTACTTACACTTTCCCCTCCAACTACCTACTTGCATACATATCATATCATGTTGTCTATTGCACGCATATCCTCAATTCCCGTACACTTATTTATACCATCTCCACCCCAGACAAGCATCAACATCAACCTCAACTTCAACCCAGCTCCCCGGCCCCCAGAACAAGAATCGGAGCCTACCTAGCACAAACCCTCAATACCCATCATGACGTCATCTTTGCAAAATCACTGACTACCTGACATCATCTAGATAGCTAGATAGCTAGATACACATAACTAGATCAAAAGGCTCCTCGAGAATTCTTCACCCAAGCGATGGATTCTAGTAAAATGAACGTGTGGTATGCCCACCCACCTCCTTTGGTAGAATCAAAATCACCCCCCAAACCCAAACCCACAACAATCCAGAACTACCACCACCACAATGCTACCTCCTCCCAAAACTCCCGAATACACATTCACACATCCACAATACTGCCTCTGAACCCGGTATAGACGAGTATATCTACACCCATCTACTACCTTCCAGCACTCATTCACAATCTCAACACCAGATAATTGAGTAGTGGAATGAAAGATACCTAACTAGCTACCACATACTACATATCCCCCCCTCTCCTCCCACCCCCCAAAGCAACAAAGCCCTAAAACAAAGAAGGAAAGTCCCCATAATCTCTAAATATCCCGTGGATATATAATATACCCAATATACCTACCTACCTACCTGCTTGCAAAACCAAGACATAACACCTACACAAACACTATACATAAAGCCTACTCGTAATAACTAAACCCAACACTCATATACAACATCAAAACCACCACCAAATCCATCCCCCTTCTCCTTTCCTTTCCTTCCTCTTCCCTAAAATCAACAACTAATATTATTTAATCTCCATCCCATCTCATCTCATCCCATCCCATCCCATCCATCCTATCCTATCCTATCCCATCCCATCCTATCCTATCCTATCCCATCCTATCCTATCCCATTTTATTCTATTTTATTTTATTTTATCTTATTTTATTTTATTTTATTTATTTTATTTTATTTTATTTCATTTTATTTCATTTTATTTCATCTTATCTTATCCCATCCCATCCCATCCCATCCCATTTCATTTCATCCTATTCTATCCTATCCCATCCTATCCCATCCCATCCCATCTCATTCTATTCTATCTCATTTCATTCCATTTCATTCTATCCCACTTTTCACTCTTACCTCCCAAACCTCAATTCCAAATCCAAGCCAACCTCAAAAAACCCTCAAACCCCCTTAAAACACATAATACAACACAATACAACACTCACTCACTCACTACCTACCTACCAATAAATCTCATATCATATTATATCATACCATATCATAGCATCCACTTCCTCCAAGTCAGATCCCCGACCCCACCTCATCGAAGCCCACGAATGTCAGATTTCAAAACTCCCATTGATCAAGTGATTATGCCTATCTACGTACCTATTTGGACATCCACTATACAAGAAGAGATGGGATTTCGCTTACCAGAGCAACAGAGCAGAGGACATTTCATTAATTATAATATCAAGAGTAGGGCATTTCAGGCGCCAGCTTACTGTTCACTAACCGGTAACCAAACAGTTCGACGTATGCGAGCTCGTTAGCATGTCGAAACACACACTCTAATACTCACCCAAACCTCAAAATCACTTCAACACAAACATTCATCACACCACCCGTGTAAACTAGAGATTTTGAAAATTTTCATTTTAATTGGGAAAAACGCAAAAAGAACTATAAAGCCCTCCCTATGTCCGTAAACAACGCAAACGCTCCTTATAAAATATCATCAATAACCGTAACGTCATTCCTGCCCACCCATTCCACTCCATCCCATCCATCCATTAGAAGATACCCACTTGGAACCAACCAAAAGGCAGCGACCAACAGAACTAACGAAGTCGCACAACTAAATAAAAAACTAAGAGAAAAAGCTTCACAGACACCAAAGTTTGCCGTGCATTTCGTGCCAGTCCCTGTATTTCCTTCACCGGATCTCGTAATATGGTAATCGTCGTATGCATATCAATCTGCGTGATTCTCGCTGACTCCTTGTGTTTTTTTCTCAGCTAATAAACGATATAACTTTTGGTTTCTGTATTTGGACCCCTCAACTGAGGATATGTTGACCTCTCGTTTGAGAGTTGTGAGGAGTCTCCGTTCCACGATGTGTTGCATTTGTGCTACATTTATGCAGCAATGAGTGGCTCCTCCTCAGTAGCAATTCCGGATTTGAACTCCTCCTTTGGTGCTGTTGGGAAATCCTCTTCCTTGATACCGTTGGTCTTGGCAGTTGGGGAGGCTACTCTGCTAGCTTCTGGAGATCCAGAACGGCTTCTAGCGCTTCCGATCATCTCTTGTGCCTTGTGAGCATACTCTCCAGCATATTGCTTGGTGGTCTCCGCAACGTGAGAAGCGTGTTGACTAGCAAGCTGCTTCACTTGTTCGGTTTGTTGGTTGACAATGCTCGAGATTTGAGCGAGGGTGTTGTCAATAAGCTCCTTGTTGGTCTTGTAAACAAGTGGGGAGATGAAGAGAACTGAGGTAGCGATGAGAGTGAGACCCCAGAATGGAATGAGCTTAATCAAGTAGTAGGAGATGAAAGATCCGATCAAGGCCTAGTGAGGTCAGTATTTCATATTTCATGGTCAGGAGTTTGAGGGGATCTTACAGTGAGAGAAACAAATACATTCTCGGCAAAGAGAACACGTTGTGACTCAATGACGAAGAAGTTGATCAGTTCATGGACATCACCGAGTAAGCTATCAAGAGTCTCTTTAGAAACTGTGTAGTACTTCTTAGGTCTGAATTGAGAAGTAAGTCCATGCGAGAAAGCTAACTTTCCAAGACCTTCTGCGAGAACCGTCACAAACAAAGTCATATATGTAACCTTGAATGAGTATCGGAGGATATCAAGATATCTGGCGGCGAAGATGAACAAAACAGTAGAGAGGTATGCAATTCCAGATGCACGAGGATTCTCCCATGATAACAAGTTGTAGAAGAAGGAATGGTAATGTGTGAGTTGTTGACCGGTAGCGGTTTGAGTGGTAGGGGTGGTGCGAGAGCTTGCGAGGTTGGAAAACTCGACTTGAGTCTTTTGATGTTGGTCTCGTACATTATCTGCCATTGGGCCTATCGAGAAAATATCAGTATTGTGGTTTGCAAACATAAGCTATGAGACATGATGGTACCGTTTACAACACTCTGAGTGACAGGGTGGTTTCCAACCGCGTTGGCAGCTGCAGATGCATCTGAATTGATTGATTAGTTTCTTTCCTGTATTGATCTCATTGTGCGAAGTTTGAACTGTTTCATTATTAGCGACATGGCCTCTGGTGGTTTGGTTGATAGATGGATCGATGTAGCTTACCTTACTGTCATAGACTGTATTCTTTGCGTTCTCCATTGTGCTAGTAGTCCCTTCAGTGGAAGTTGCACCAGCGTTGGAAGGAAAATCCGACATAATATGTATAGAAATTGATGGTTGTGTGTGGAAGAAGGAAAATCGTCGAGGGAGCTTCTGGTGATCAGCTTGTGAAGGAAAGGTGATTGAGATTTGTTAGACGATGCGATGTATCGTGTTGTTGTTATGAAGGTGGTGTCTTTTTCTTTGAAGGTTGTATCTGGCCAAGGCTTTTTGTTTAAAAAGAAAGCAAAAGTACTGGGTACGACAGTCTTTCACAGTGTATCAATTGAATTGCAATTATGACGAAAGCTGGCAAGAAGAGGACCGATGGATTCTTTTGTCCTTTTTCTTTCTGACCTACGACAAGCTGCAGTAGTGGGTTGAGAAATGGGAAGAAAGTGGAGTCAATATGGTCGCACTTGCACAAGCCAAACAACTTCTAGAGGGAAGAGCTTGATATGGATTTTTATTTTTGGTTTCTATCGATAGCGAATGGAGTTTAGCGTAGATGGAAGCACGCGAGCAACGGAGTAGGTACGGAGCATGTGTTGTGTTCTCTACGGGAGAGTATTCTTGTAGGTAGCTAATAATAATAATAAGTACGTATACCTAGGTAGACATTGGACATTGGCTGGACTGATGAGTGATTGGGGGGCATTGCACACTACAGTGACTGATGAGTGATTGACTGGACATTGCACCCTACACTGACTGACTGACTGAATGACACTGAATGACACTGACTGACTGACTGACTGACTGACTGGCTGACTGGCTGGCTGGACATTACACCCTTACAACTCTACACTGACTGACTGACTGATTACAATAGGGCACGTCATAATCGAAGCGCCACACTAGAAAATCTGGTACGCACGGTGACAGACTTGATTACCGACTGCCCAGGTGCAGTTAGTTACATTATTACTACGGGATACCATTGAGACCAGACCATACAAATTCAATGGCAGAGGTGCATAAATAACATCATCCTCTGTACAGAGTAGATACCTAGGTAGGTCACATCTAGGTAGGTCACATCTAGGTAACATTCACACATTCAATCATCAACATTCCATCTCTCATTTATATCTTCATGATTCACGATTCGTCATTCATGATTCACTTCACCACCCATCTCTATACCAATAATTAACAGAATCGTGGTCTTTTCGCTAGGTACTGTATTCTGCTGGAAACAGAGACATATCGACAATCATATCTACCCAGTCGTTCCCTAGTAATTACGGATCCCTCTCATGCAGACTCGCTCGCTTGCTTGCTTGCGTGGGTGTCTCTATGTAATTGTCCATTGCTCTCTCGGCTTTTGCTTTTACTTTTACTTTTGCTTTTGCTGTTGCTGTTGCTTTTTCCCTTTCGCATGTGATTCTTATCGGTCGCCTTGATGAATCAGATGAAAAAAAAGAGTTCCCGTCCCTGTTTCGGTGGCTAGTCATAAAATATCTGCTGATGACGGAGATGCTTGAAAAGAGAACAACACGACCATGGAGATATTGACTCATATATCATCTAATGTTCTAATCTATGTACCAACTTTTCATTTCTTATATCCCTTCACTTATCTGTCCTCGGTGAAAAGTTCAAGAAAGAGGAAACCTACCTACACCCATCGTCACTTACTTCGTACATTAGAACTTTTAGAAGGGGCCCAGATCCAGTCAGACATGGGATGAGGTGGGGGGTGTTCTAAGATTACAAAGTAGCTATTGAAGCACAATGCGTCACATCTTTTGGTATCCACCAAAGCCTAAGAAGGTATCTCATTCCCGTCTTCATTTTGATTTTCCCATGCCCAACCAATTTACATGAATTAATTTCATCCTTGCTTAGGGTTTGCAAACTCTACAACCCTAATTGTGAACCTCTTCTCTCTTTTATATCGCTGCCATCCAACATGGAAAACATTTCCATCGTTTGCGGGCAATCTTTGTGGCGTGTGCAGTACTAGGTAGGTAGAGTACCGAGAGCACAGTTCTGGAATTTTCATTGATAAGGATTCCGTGCCCCGCGAAGGATCTTTTGTGGGTATGTATGTATGGTATGTATGGTATGTATCAGTCAGTAAGATTACACCATCATGAAAATACCATCTTGACAATACCAGGTCCTCTCCCACAAAATAATAAGTACTTGAATCAACTTTTTATCTTGATCATTCCAAGGCTATTCAGACGAGTAGCTTTGGAAGAGTATCTATACGTCTGACTTTTCAAGTAAGTCATAGACCCAATGATATTTCATCCATTGCTACAAATTTCTTACTCCAAGTAATTTGCATTTGCATTTCTCTTTGGAAAACCAAATGTTGGTTAGGCACGCGCTCGAGACTCACACAGTCGGGGAAACAATGCGTGGCTTACTCAGTAAAACACTACCTACTTGCTTGCTGATCAAAAACTGATACAAGTCTCCTATCATTCTATCGTCTGTCACTTCAAGTGATTCCCATTTTTTAGTTTGGAAAACACATGAGGTTCAAAGAAATAAATTGCTATTAAATCCGAAAATACAAGCCAACACAGAAACAACTAACCAACCAACCAACACACAACAACTCCCCAATCCAAGCCCTCAAACTCTCAATCAAGACATAGGGTCAGGATATGCCACAACCTGACTCATAACATGAGTACACAACTCACTACTCTGTCCCACCGTCTGCACCGTATTCCAATCCAAATACCCATACACCCACTCACCCGGACTCATCAGCGCCGCCGGCGTATAATTCGCACAATGCTTCACATAGATCAAATCATTCAGGACCGCGATATCGAATCCCGACGTCGTCATCGGTACCTCGCTCAAATTGCATAGAAAGGCAACGGTACCGTGATACTCGATCGGATTAAATGCACCCGCGATATCGGAAATGGTATCTTGGCTCCCTCGCATGCCGGTCCCGAAACAGGGCCATCCCGGGGAGATGGTAGCGCAGGTACTGGTGGTGTTGGCTTGGAGAACGGAGTGTGCTTGGTTGGTGGCGGTTTCCGGGAGGTAGCCAGCGCCGCAAGTGGCGGTGGCGGCGGTGGCGGAGGCGGAGAAGTCGGCGGTGAGGGTTCCGGTTGTGTCGATGGTGCTGCTGGATGATGCGCTAGAGGAAGTTGTTGATGAAGTAGTGGAGGAGGAAGTAGTCGATGAGGTCGTGGAAGAAGATTTAGTGGACGAGGTAGTAGAAGAAGATTTAGTAGACGAAGTAGTGGAAGAAGATTTAGTGGACGAGGTAGTGGAAGAAGAAGTAGACGATGTCTTCTGAGTAGAACATAAAGAGGGCGATAACGAACAATCCGTCTCTTTCGTCCTTTCCACTATCGCAGCCGCAATAGCATTGCCGATAAAGACAAAAAGAAATACCCTATGAAGTCTCATCAGGTACCTAGCTCTTGAAGCAAAATAATTTACAGCACGGAATAAGTTATACAGTCGAGTCAGTAAACTCAAAAGAGATAACAGAAACCCAGAAATCAAATATCGATCTCAACCTTGGAAGAGTGCGGATACATGAATAGCAAGAATAGCTAAATTGTTGGGCGAGAGACAAAGATCTACACAGTAAGAGTTTATGTATGGATATTCCCTCTCTTCTCTTGTCCAAGATGTTGGACCATTCGGTCATTATACAGGCTAGGTCATGTTTCTTGTCGTTGTGTAGATGTGTACGGATTGGTAACCGGGTGAGGTCGGGATTTGGGGATGCGATGTCGTAACGTCTTGGGACAGACCCGGGCGTATTGAGCTTTGAGAATTCTAGATTCTGGAATGAGTTCTTAGATATTGAGATATGGAGTTTTTTTCCCTTTGAAATGGAAATGGAAATGCATAGATGTGCTATCCAATCATGTTCATGCTGTTCGTCAAGTTCATCCGATCCATCATAGTGACACATAGATAGGTACATACACAACCTCCAAACCACCCAGCAATCATCTAATTTCCTATTCCATGCATGATCTATCCATCTATTACATAATCCACGACCCCATCATCATCCCAACTAAAGGTCGCAGGATCACCTTAAGCGCCCATAGCTGCGAAAGGATTTAGCAAAATCGCATTTATCGAGGTTGGAAGAAGATGGCCGAGGTGGTTCATCATGGGCTTCGCATCGAATAGGGATAGGGACTTGGCGTGCTGGAGGGTGTTGTGTGTGGAGGATGGGGGATTGGTGGGAGGATTGGGAATTTGGAACGGGATCGTGTGAGGGGCACGTGGGTTTGTGGGTGTGGTTGGAGCGTGGGAAAATTGGGCTGTGGAAGCTGGATCATGTGAAAAGCGCGTGCGGATTTGGGTTTGGGTGTGGGGTTCTTTTGAAGGGGCTCGGAGTTTGGAATTCGCATGCGAGTTTTGGATGCGAGTTGTGATTGTGAGTTTCGGATGTGGAATCTGCTCGGGGATTGTCGATAATCAATTGAGTTTGGCTCCTTGATCTTCTACAAACACTATGTGATTTTATATAGTCGAGTACAGGATAAACATACACACAAAGTTAATACTTAGTAACTTGATATATATCAAAATTCAAATCCAACTCCTCTCTTCTTCAATACCCCTAAAGTAAAGGTCTCAACGCCTCCGCCGTATCAATCACACTCTCCTTAAAACTCCTGAACCTAAATCCCATTTCCCTCTGTGCCTTCTCTCCACTCACACGCGGTCTCTCCGGGGCCCATTCTACACTCTCTACTTTCCCCGTTTCCTTATTGTATCCTACATAACCCTCCCCGGGATTTCCAACCACGATCTTCTCAAGAGCTTTCTCATCTCCCTTCTCCTTGAAATACTCCCGTAGAATATCCGCCTGCGCCTGTGGGGGGCCAGTTCCCAAACACGCTATGTAGCGCTCCCCGTCTGATTTTTCAGGATGTTCGTACGCCCAGATATGCATGTACGCTACATCGCGCACGTCTACGGAACAGCCGGTATCGGTGGCAGGTGAGACGGTTTTGGTGGCGCCAGAGAGCATGTTGTAGATGGGTTTGAGGGATTCGTTTAGCTTCTCGCCGGTTTCGGGGAGGCATACTGGAGGTCCGGTGACGAAGGCGGGGTTGTTGGTTGTGAGTGCAAAGGAGGGGGATTTTTCGGAGCGGAATTTCCAGACGGCGGATTCGGCGGCGCTTTTGGAGGCGGCGTAGAGAAGTCCGACATCGGAGGGGCGGTTTTCTTGGAGATCTTTTTGCGCTTGGGTGAGGTAGGAGGAAGCGAAGTCGCTCTCGGTGAAGGTGTAGGAGTCGGTGCGGGGGTCTACGACAGCGATGGCGGAGGAGGTTACCACTACGGCTTTGAGTTGGGGTCCGGCTTTTAAGGAGGAGTAAAGCAGGGTGTTGGTGCCGTCTATGGCTGGGGTAACCATTTGGGCGTAGGTTTTAAGACTAGAGTCTATGGGAGATGCGGTGTGGAATATACCATCGACGCCTGGTATCTTGTTTAGTCCACTTCGGTTCAATTTAGATCACCCGTTGAGAGTGAGGGGGTAAGGAGAATGAGGGAATTGATTGAGACTGACCTTTAACAGCTTCGTCGAAAGCACCAGAGACTGTCATGTCAGGTACCTCATATATCTTCACTCGGTCAATGTAAGGTGCGTAGGGACCTTTGAGCAATGGCTCAGCGCTAGAGATACGCCGAGTGGTACCGCGAATAGAATAACCGGCTTGTAGAAGTTGAAGCCCTAGGACACTGGCTATGTAGCCATTGATGCCGGTTATAAGGACGGTCTTGTTGTTTGAGGATGGAATTGCCATTTTGAAGTAGGGCATATATGACTGCTGTTGAATTTTATGAATGATTGACTTATGGAAATAACAAGTAATGAAGAAAACTACTCTTGATAGTATGAATACATCTTTACTTGAAAGAAATTGTCCTACATGATGAACCTACTTGACACATATATATACCTGATCTCCTTCTCAAGGGCTCCATACAAAGCACAAGATATCATGAAACCGGCCACGTTACTAAGTCGGAGAATAAAGATCAATATACCTGCCGGAAAACTCTTCTCCAATATCTAACTTCATGTCAAGCTTAAAAATCCATTGGGAATCATTACGAATCTCGGAATGATATTGTCCCATTAATCCACTTCGGAGAAAGTTAAGATTGACATATAACGAGGCCGATAATGCGCATTTGAATAATATACTAAAAGTAGATTTTTGCCCAAGCTAAACACGTATTTAGGATTTAATGATATATTTATAAAACTTGTTACGATCACATACTAGAGAATATCGATAGAGGTCAAACAATTAGAATAAGAAAGCTAAAGAGAGAAGAGATTCCTAAGGGATCTCTATATCTGTTATATAGTAACGATCGCTTAGTTCAAGTCAGTCTTGAACTAAGGTATGCGTGATGAGTAATTACAATGTCATGTGTTACTCGTTACAAAAATATAATATTCAATTCAATATATAACCTTAAGAATTTAGAAAAATTAAAAAATTAAAAACGTATATATTAATTAAAATTCGAGGAATTAGTTAATATTATTAGAAAATACTCTATATGTATTAAGATTCTATAACGTAATTTATCAGTATGTGGGCCATTTTCATCTCAATTTATATTTTCGAATATAGATTATTTAATAATTATTATATCAATTGATTAAAACTATTAAGAATTTAATAATTTAGGATCTATTATATTATTTTGATAAATTCTTGAATTATAATCTAGTTTTTTATATTTACTATAGTATTTATTAGAAGATGCTTTCTTATTAGGATTCTTTTTATTTTGATGTTTATTGTGTTGAATTTGAATATCAACTTCTTGTTAAGATAATATATTAAAAGCCTTTTGTTTAATGAATACTTTTCCTTAATGTAATTGAGTTTTTTTTGTGTATCGATATTTACTTAATGCCTTATTTGTTTTTCAAAGTATATAAATCTTTATATTCAAAAGTATATTTTTATGAGCTAGTTTTTTTATATCTTTAGTTAGAATTAGTATAATCTCAAATAAAGATATAAAGAAGCTTAATTGATAACGATTTATTTGAGATTTAATTAATATTGATTGAGAAAAAGCTTTAGTTGAATTGTAAGAGATTTGAAAGACTTATTGATTTAGATTGGAAGAGAAAAAGGATAGATATACAAATTCAAATATTTAATTTCGAAAGTATAGTTTTAAAATTAAATAATATTAAATCTATTCTTTGAAATCTTAATTTTATATTCTGAGAGGTAATTGATTTTTGTATATAATTTTAAAAGCTATAAAGAATTTAATCTTCGAAATATAATTAATATGTGCCTTAATAAATCCATCAATTTGAATACTATATAAATGTTTCAAATTGCTAAAACAGCCTATATCAAGTGATTAAGTTAAATAACTTGAATACAATAATAAATATATATATTTAATATCATTCTCCTTATAATAATTCTGAAATAATATTGATTCATGACTTTCATGCCTATCTAGTACTAATATTCGATATTTGCTCTTTCTTTGATTTTTAGTATGCTTATCAAAGTGTTTCAATCATTCTAAACCCGTTTCATTATTTGTCCATCTATTAGATATAAATTTAATAATTTATTCTATAGAAAGATTTGTTTCAATATATTAATTAGAGAAATGAACTTATTCTTAAACTATTAGAAATAAGGAAATAATTTCATCCTTTTTATTTTCATATATTATTATTATAGTTCATTCTCGATTGCTTGATTGTACTGATTTACTTCTATTATATTTCTTAGTATTAATAACAATTATTATTATACATATAATTCTTATTATAAAGCCTATTTCATTAAAATTATAGAAATCTCTATTTAAAATATAATATTTTATTCATATATTCACAATTAATCAAAACCATTTTTCAATAAGTTTAGAATTCTCACAAAAAACTTTTTAAAAATTATAAACATAATTAAAACACATTTTTAATTTGATTTAATATTTTATAAATTAATACACTTAAAGCTTTTCAATATTCTTCGTATTTTTTAATTCAAGAATATAATTTGTTATATCTTCTACATTTCTAAATTTAAATAAAAAACCTCTCAAATCTATATCAAGTATATATTCAACAATAATATTTTTTTCTAGTTTTAAAAGATTATGAGATTTATATCGATATTCTATATAAAAAGTAAAACTATTAATTCTATATTATAATATTATATATATTAATAATCTTTTAAATACTTTGTTTTTTGTTTTTCTAAATAGCTTTGATAGTAAGGAGTATATAGGCTTTTTAGTTATTCGAATTTATAATAAATTGTTAATAAAATGTGTGTTGAAAAAGAAAGGTGTAAATTGAGGTGAAAATGAGCTATATACTGATATGGACTATATGCTGATAAACTACGTTATTATTCAAATATACGTTATCGACCTCGGTAATATAACCGGAGATGAGTTAGATTAGACTGATGAAGGATGCTAGTTAATCAACAAGTTACTAGAGATCAACGAGAGGGGACAGAAAAAAATCAGATGTGCAACAAAACATGTGTGTCAGACAAGACACGTGAGCGGTCAAAACTCATCTTGTTTAAAGAAGGCGGTGTAAAATTTTAACGGTTTAAAACAATTCCACATGAACTTCAAATCCTTTAGATCTTCTTGATTTCATACACCGTCAAACACCTCATAGTCATGAGTACTACTAAACTCATTCCTTCGCGCCCTCTGTTGCATTATCTCAATGAAAAGATATACAATATCTCAGTCCGGCCGTTCTGCCACCTAGTAACGCAGCAGTCATCTACGGATTCGTTGCGCCACTCCATTCTACTTCGCATTCCACAACAATGTCGCCATATTATGCTGTCACGAATCGCGGAAAAGACAAGACATGGTAAATTGCAAGCTGATAACCATAAAATTTTGGATTATGTCAAGACATCACTCTTTTCTCAAACAGATTTTCAATCGCAAAAGATTATATTATGGGCAGAAGCGGATAAAAAGCCTTACAGCAAGCCACACAAGTTTATCGGCGTAATGTCGATAGGTGATGTGATGAAAGACTACCTGTGTAACAGGAAGGAGGCGGTATTGGATCCGGGGGAAGGGACGAGCTGGATGCTAGTGCCCAGAACTGGGTTCGAAAATATCTCAAGGGGAGACCGTCATCAACTGAGGGAGATTGCTGAACGTATTCATGATCTGGGAGCAACAGAATTTGGCGAATACATTTTGATCAAACGAAAATCATTCATGGTGCCAAAGCCCGGGAAAGGAATGAAAACTAAAGGGGGCCGTGGCAATGCGAAACTTATAAACTTGACAAAAGATGTCACGGGCGATAACCTGAGCGTGATGTTGGCAAAAGCTTATTACTTTTTAGAGACACGCAATCAAAATGCAGAGTTTCACATACATTTCGCGAAAAATCTCAAGTTCAGCGAAGATGAGATGTTTCAAAAGATGATGGAGATGCCCGGTGGCTTGGCTCTACATCCTCAAGTTATTCAAAGCCAATTGCCTGGTAGTTCCCGGATCAATATAAAGCCTCGGAGTAATGGAAGAGAGCTTGTATGGGTTGTAGGGAGAAATGCATCGCGTCAGCAAGAGGAATTGGTGTTACTTGCTAGGGATAATATCGCTCAGATGAAAGGAACTCATGATTTTGTAATTCACAGGGGAAAGGAGATGAAAAAAGATAAGAACTGGAGATTGAACCAAGATAAACGAGAGATCGAAACCTTGAAAAAAGAAGGCAAATCTTTCGATCACGTTCTTGAACGACAAAGGGAAATCACGGCGCGTGAGGACGGTCTAAGATCAATGTTTAAGGAGGTAAAGTTGGCACGAAGACAGAAAGAAAAGGATAGGAAAGCGCGAAGGATTGAAGAAAGACTCAGGCACCAAGCACGCGGCCGAGCCATGTTGGCTGATCGTTTGGAGCGAAAGAGAACATTGAGGACACGTTGGGAGCGAAGGAAACAAAATCTTAGAGCAACGGAGAGTGAAAGAAAAGAGCGCGACGCGATGAGAGGATCATTCCTAGCTCGGAGAAAAGCGATGAAAGCAGAATTGAAAGCTGAGGCAATGATAGGCACCGTGAATTATTATTCGCGATCGGTACAGACAGGAGCAAAAGGGGTGGAGCATAACGGATCAGGTGCAAGAAGAATACGATTAGCCAAGTTCAAGGAGACAGCAAGGGATGTAGCGAAGAGAACATCGCTTTTACGCTCTCCACATCCTGCTGCACCGACTGCTTTGAGAATTGAAAGACAAAGGTCGCTGAGTCAAAGAAGAGCAATTAAAGTGAAGGCAAGACGAGAGCTAGAGTTGAGGAGGAAGAGGGCAAGTCCTATTCGGTCGAAATTTGAGGATATGATTTAGGGTTTAGAAATGGAACAATGCAGCCATGGACAATTACATTATGGTAAATCCCGTTTATGGATAATCTCAACATCTGCCGAGCGTGTATTTCTAAGAGCCGTCAAGGCCTGTAGGACTAAAATCATAGGTGGGTGTATTGTTACACGAACTTAGACTAAGTTTGAAAATTACTCCCTACTTTGTCGCATACGAAGAGCACATAACTTTGACATCCCAACGATTCTGATAACGGCTTTATCTAGTGTTACCATTAATCTGATGGGTTGTATTGTGAAATTAGGCTATTTCAATTGGTTGTGGGCTGACTTATTTCTTTTCTATTCCACTGGCAAGCATGAAAACACTGCCACATAGGTTCCTGCCGTTGGGATGGATTGGACAAGTACTCTGTTGAGGCGGCTGTGCTTACTTTTGATTCCACGTCGCGAATCGACGCAGACCTCGAGCTCGACCTTGAAATTTCCTTTCATTCTCCCAATTGATTTGAATTGATTTGAATTCACATCGTATATTTTTCCGTACAAAACATACTTATTTCACGAGCTTCGGAATAGATCTTGTCTTTCAACACCATACTCATGGCAGAAATTGGCATCATTGCCAGCGGCATGGGCGTAGCCTCGATGGGGCTTCAGCTCATGGACGGCATTAGAAAATTGAAACAATTTTGGGACGAAGTTAAAGAAGCGCCTGAAGATATCCAATACACCCTTGAAGAGCTCGACGCACTGAGTCTGGTTCTTTCCGATATGCACATCACTAATTCAAATCTGCCATCGATTCCTTCGGCTACGGTCACAAAGTGCCTAGAGCTTTGTCGCCGTGGAACAAATATCCTCAATACGACAGTGAATGATCTGAATAGGGCTATCTCCAAACGACGCAAGATCGGTAGCGCGAAAGTGGTTTTGAAGAAAGATACACTCGATAAATTTCGGAATCGATTGAGAGATGCGCAATATATGCTTATACTTTCTCAGCAGACATACTCGGACGCACTTCAATTGGAATACCATAAGCTTCAATTAGAGGCAGGTCAAAGTAATGCGAATCGTCAGCTGCAAGGAATCGAGGAGTTAAAGATTTTCATTACACGTTCTGTCGATGCCATGTCTAGTACCCTGCTCCAATCGCGCGATACTGTTGTTTATGATTATGAAACGAAGAGACCCATGAGAGGAAGAACACGATCGAAGCTTGATGAGCAGGCTGACTACTTTAAGAGGAAGTTTAGTATTCCTCAGTTATTTTCATCTACGAGCTATACTTGGGAATTCTCTGGGTATCAAGCACCTTCAGGGTGGACATTCAACTTCCGGCAATACTACACAATTGCATTTGATTCGCCGGCTTGGCAATGTGTATACCGAGGGGACTTATCCGGACTTCAAGTATTGTTAAAGAGTAAAAAGGCTACCCCATTTGATAGATTAGCCACAGGCGGGACATTGCTTGATGTATGTAAATATCTCCTTTTCCCCAAGGACTGTAAGAGTCTAATTATCATAGGTAGCTAGCGCGCAGGGAGACTATGATATGTGCTGTTTCCTACTCAATCAAGGAGCAGATCCGAATGACTCTTTCAGGACGTATGTACTCTGACCTTTGTGGCATATATGGCTTTCAATAATAGTTGAGGCAGATCTGCGTTATTATATAGTGTTGGCTGGTCCAGTAAAGGCCCTTCTCAGATCAGTGTGCTGCAGCTACTCTATCCAATATCTGAGATTCATAATCCGTTGCAAATTATTTCGGACTATGATATTGATCTTGATAGTCTAGCTTGGCTGCTTCATAATATTGATCCGACATTCAAAGAGTGGTGTTTCGAGGAAAGGATGATGTTCGCACTGAAAGTTTGTAACAAAATTAGTAATGTGATTCATAGCACAGCTGACGTAATATCACTAATGCTTCACGAAGACCAATTGAACGAAGCTTGCTGCAAGATGGTTTTCAGAATCAGGCCTGAGCATATTGGCAATACTTTTCTATCAATCGAGCTTGCGTGTCTTTCAAGCGTTATATTTACTTGGCTAAGAGAAAATGGAGAATCGACTGTGTGCTCCGACTCGACTCAGCTAAGACCTGGGAAAGCAGAATTTGGACCGAGTGGTCGATTTTCAAAAGCAAAGTGTTCTACATCAATCGAGTTGATTGAACGCCTCGTTGCCAACGGTTCAGAAGTCTTCTGCGGAGGTCTTATATCTTGCTCGTTGAGTGGAAACTATTGGATTTACCCTCATGCTTTGCACTGCTCATGGACATGCCCAATTTCTGTGCGAATTTGGCTCGAGATACTACATGATTCCGGCATTGATCTACTGAAATACGGCAAATTAGAGCATGATAATTTCATGGAGAGTATCTCTGAATGGGGGGTGTACGCGAGAAGGGATATTTGGGAATGTGACATGTATGTAGAGCCGGCACATCTGATAAGCTTTGTCTATGGACCAGCTATTGAGGATTGGAAGTTCTGGTATTCCTTAGATGAACCGCGTTGGAACTACTACGAAGATCTCTGGTATTTCTGGGAACTGGTTGATCATCCAGAAAAGGGGATGCCTGGGGCTTGGGAGGAGTGTTAATTACCCATGTTTCACGTGATCTGGCGTTAGAACGCACCTCAATGCAGATGATATGGGGGCAGATGATATAGTAAAATTGGTTGATGAATGTAACTACGCTCCACGGTTTGTGCTATGGGTGGAGTGTGGTAATAACTTCTCTTCGGGACTATTGGGATACAGATCGATGAAGACGCATCGGCTACTAGGTGTACAAGTCGTTGCTTTAATATATTATTATCAATCCATCGCCATCCACTACATGCTCCTGACTATAATATGTATGCTGCAATTTAGACCTTAAGCTTGAGTCAGACCCTAAGTTGGAAAGGAGATTGGGATGGGCGAATTCCTATCGAACAATGATTCTGACCCTCAGATGGGAAAGCTTCGAAGCCTTCGCCGGGGAATCGAAAGCTAAATCATGGCAGCATGAGTCATGTATGATTGCATACTATAGACATTATCCCGTATACTATAGAATCTGAAGCTCAAAGTTAACTTGACACATGTGATAAAAACACAGGCAGAGAAATACTAAGAGCTGTCGAGATGAATGTTGATGCATTGAGTGACGAAGAAAGACATCCTGCAAGGGATCTCCCCATAACCAAAAGCATGTTTGCCCATCTCCAGCCCAAATAGCCGAACTCCAAGATATAACTCTAAACCCATACCTCCCCATATCCGAAAACGTCCCTTATGACAGAGTGATAGAATATATTACTCGACTAGTGTAGGATACATTAAAGCTTCGATCTCAGAGATATAAGTAGGATTATAATATATTATCTTTTAACCTGATGAATATTAATAGATTAAGTTAAATAGCTGAACTTTTAATACTTTTTTTTTTTTTTTAGTAAATAATGTAAAGTAGAGATTGTAATATAAATAAATAATAAATGAAGATAAAATAAGATAAGATAAGATGAGATGAGATGAAATGAAATGAGATAAGATGAGATGAGATGAGATGAGATGAGATGAGATGAGATGAGATGAGATGAGATAAGATAAGATGAGATGAGATGAGATAAGATGAAATAAGATAAAATAAAATAAGATAAAATGAGATAAGATGAGATAAGATGAGATGAAATAAGATGAAATGAGATGAGATAAAATGAGATGAGATAAGATGAGATGAGATGAGATGAAATGAGATGAGATGAAATGAAATAAGATGATTTGATATATGAGTTGAGTATATAATTTTTGAAAAGTGGATATAGTAAATGAATAAATAATGAATAAATGATGAATGAATAGGGTAGTGGGTTTATAGAATAGAATGAGAGTAGAAAGCTGGTCAATTATAACAAGTCCTTTGTAGATATGATAATAAGATAGACTTGTTCAGATTAGAATGGCTTATATTAGACCACTCAGTATCAGTTATTAATTGAAGCCATGAACAAAAACAATTAATTTTCACACTTCTTCAAAGTCTTCTGGAATCTTTGGACAAAAATCACAGGAGCGTGTTCGCAATAATTCACTTAAATCATTTGAAGAAAGTGTTTGGTACTTGCGATTCATTTGAAACGACACGTAGTGTATGTAACATGCCATTCTGGTACTTTGGAGATCAGAAAGTCTACAGATAGAGAAATTCTACTTTTAATTCTGACCCAACATTGCTGTATTAATGAAAATACAACAGGTGCATTTTCCAACTGCCAGATAAAACAGTTCACCGGTAGCAATTATCTAGTCCAGCTCATCTCTTGGTTATTAACTCAGACACTCTCCTTATTACTCCGGAGAAAGTATTTAAGACCAATCCCACGGTTTCCAAATTCGTCTTTCCTCAACTCTCAAACGATTTCAAACACGCCACATCTTCCGTTACCGTTTTCTCAGGACTATTATTTCTTCAGTGAGTACTCTTCCTTAATCATCATAATCTCCTCGCATTCAACTCATTCACCAGAACCTGAAAAAGAAAACACTAACTCCACAATAGCACCAAATTCCTCTCCATGGAGATCAATCTCGGGATGCCTCGCGTTTGATATATCACGAAACTCAGATTCAAAATAATGACACATCCCACAGTCATTGCGGTGAATCAAAATGACTGTGCCTGTATTTCCTAGGCTATCCAGCGCGAGGAGACTGGATAGAGCAGGGCGAGCGCGCCCTCCTGCGTTACGGATGATGGCCGCTTCTATAGAGTAGATTAATCTTACAATACTCGGAGAGTTTCAAGGAAGGGAAGTGAATACCGGCAAATTCAAAACCGAGGAATTTTTCCGGAGTAGTGCGAGGATCGGCGCATGATACTGTGGGTGGAATTAGACGGAGTTTCGATCTTGATTAAATGAGGAGTATTACCAATAACAGTACCACGCCTTCCAAGTGATTTATTCTTCTCTATTCCAATACTGAGTAGTGGTGGCTCAACATGGATGGTCTTGGAGTAGTTTCTAAATTAAGATGTTAGTATATTGGATGAGATGTGTAGACTTCTGAAAGCAGCATCACTTACAATTACGCTCAATTATACTTTTTATCTTTTCCGCCGACTAGGTTGACATGGTATAGGATGTGATAGGGATACCTATGAAGTAAGATGGTGTTATGTGTCAGATTACTTAGATCTAGGAGTTCAAGTATTAGTAGTTCAAAAAATGCATGACCAATGGAGTATCTACTCGACCTCTACACAAAAGTATACCAAGACTTTATGATTAGAATACTTGCATTCCCGCAATCGATTTTTTTAACCACCAACTAATCATCAAAACTAGCATCAGTACATTTCCACAGCTTTTCACAGCACTCAAACCTTCTGATCCAATAATCCAAAAATTATTATGCTAATAATTCCATCAAAGACTCATGCTTGTTGCGGAGTAAGCATTTTCTTTGTTGCATGATTACTATTCATTTCTCATCATCGACTCCTAAAAGGGCTCGCTTAAATTGGCACCTCGATTGTGGCGCTCTGGATAAAGAGATTGCGCGGAGGAAAGAGAATAGAGATGTGAGTGAGAAGTGAATGATTAATAAACAATTTGTGAATTGATGCGAGGTATGCAGATGATGCCACAATCGAGGTGTAGGCGATTAGACATTTGCGCCGAGAAGGAGGGAGGCATAGGATATGATTAGTGATATTGAGAAAGGTATATGGAGTTTTTGTCGTTGGAAATTTCTGGAGGGAGTTTATAAAGATCAAATTCAGGATACCCAATATATTTAGTCTAACACATTTCAATAATCTCAACAACAATCCACATCTACAAATTTCAGTGAAATAACAGAATGTCTTCTACAAAACCCCTTGTTCTCGTCATTGGAGGCACAGGCGTCCAAGGCATGCCCGTAGTTAAAGGCAAGTACTTATAAGGCCCACATATCTCTCCTCAGATCTATTAACACTCCCTTAGAACTAGCTCAAGATGACGCCTGTAACATTCGCCTCGTAACTCGAAGTGCCAACTCTGCACACGCACAAGAGCTGGCACAACTTCCAGGGGTGACCATCGTCGAAGGAGATATCTACTCCGAGCATGATCTCCATAGATTTTTCTCTGGATGCACTCACGCCTTCATCAACACCAATGGTGATGCCATTGGCGAAAAGGGCGAAATCTATTGGGGCATACGTTATTACGAAATCGCACGCACACACAAGTTGCAATATTTCTTGTACTCCAGCCTTGAGTATTCCCTCAAGATCTCCGACTTCGATAATGATTTTAGAGATGGTCATATGGATGCGAAAGCTAAGGTTGCAGATTGGATTAGTGTGCAGGATAAGAAGAAGATGAAGTGGAGTATCTTGACTAGTTGTTTGTATATGGAAATGTTGAATGAGCTTTTAGCTCCTCATCCTGACAAGGACGACCCTGAGACTTTGGCTTTTGTTGCGCCCTTGGGTCCAAGAGGAAGTGCGCCGTTGATTGCTTTAGAGGATTTTGGGAAATATGCCAGATGGGTATTTGATCATCCCGATCGCAGCAATGGACTTAATCTCCATGTTGCTTCTCAGGAAGTTGTTTGGGCTGATATTCCGGCCGCTTTTACTGAAGCGACCGGGAAGAAATCGGTGTATAGAGATGTGACGGTTGATGGCTGGTTTGATCTTGGCCTCTTCCCAAATCCGGATGCGAAGTTTGGGCACAGTGCTCCCGAAGACGAAGGAACATTGCAAACGTATCGGGAGAATTTTGGTGGGTTCTGGAGATTTTGGAAGAGTGGCAAGGTAAGAAAGGATTGGGCTTTGATGGATGAGATTTTGCCGGGAAGGATCAAGTCGGTGGGCGAATGGATGAGGAAGAGTGGGTACGATGGAAACATTAAGCCCTTGTTGCATGACTTCCATCAGAAAAAGAGAGAATCCTAAGAAAGGAGATCGAACCTCGATACTGCGTCAAAATCTCTGGAAGGACTGGAAGATGGAAGATCTCGGTAGATTACCTCAGAAAAGACTTGGTAGACTAGGTTGTTAATGGATGAAGGTTTCTATGATTAAATTATTTCCTGCAGTGGCCATGATCGTGACCCCGTATAAAATCACACAGCATCTGAATAGTGGTATAGATTGACGCCAAAGAAAAATAAATCCCTATGCCTGCCTGAATATGCCCTCCAACTCCTGGTTCCGCCGCCGTTGCAATGTTCTATAATCTTGATCATTTCTTCAATGCTGCAAATCTTGCCGCCAACTCATCCACATCTGGTATCGTGCCGCCAACTGGACCCTTGCTTTGAATGCCAGGCTTTGACGTAGTCGCAGTTTGCATCTTCTTTGTTGGCTTCAGGTCTAGAGCTCCGCGAACCCTGGGGTGTAAGTTGTCTGTACGGGGACTTGGTGGATTAACCCTAAGTGGGCTTGAAGGCCCAAAATTCTTTGGTGGAGTAGCTTTGCTCAACTCCTCTCTCTCTTCATCAGCCTTACCGTTTGCTACAAGCGGCGCCTCCAGATTCTTTTGTGCCTGTCCACCACTCGGATTTTCGTCATCATCGTCATCATCTACAAATTCTGGGGCTTCTCCAAGGTCTTCCTT